AAGTGGTCATGATTATAAACAGTTAGCTGTGTGGAATTTCTTCTGGTCCTCTGCTCCCTGGTAGTCACAACTGGTCCAGTCTTGCATACCGTCAAACCCTGTTGTTTTGCCTCTAGTGAGGAAGAAGTACCAAGCCTTCTCACTGATTATTCTTGGTTGCCCAAGAACTACTTGGTCTCCCTGGTGCTTCCTAGTCTCTGTATTTGTTGTTCCAATGCAAAATCTTTTTTTCAACTTATCCACTAACTTTCAGTTCCTGTGTACAAAGTCCCTTCTCACTCCATGCAGGAGTAAAATCATGGCACATTTATTTCAGGTTACAGCTCGGGTCTGCTGCTGGTCTCCATATTGATCATTGCACTTCACTTACAAATAAAGCCTTTCAGACTCCCTTTCTAAATTTCTTTCCAAACTTCTCTGATTACTTATTTCTCTCTCTTGTTTGAATACTCGCTAGTTCATCTGTCAACAGAATAAGCCTTGATGCTCAACTCCACCTCCTCACTGCTTAGTGACTTAAAAAACTGATACTAATGAAATCCTAGTGGTATTACTTAGGTTCATGCCCGTAGACCTGTGCCAACAGGGCTGTTTAGGGGCCATGGACCATTTATGAGCTCTTCACAGAAAACAATCAATGCGGAAAGTAAGCAAACAAATAGATCAATCAAACATATTTAGTAAAAATTGTATGCTTACTAGAAAGCATAGACCTGAATAAGGTGTGTCCAAATGCTTGTGACAATGAATTCATTCAGTTATGCCAGCATATGTTTTTTATCATGACAATAATATATTTTGTTAACATACTTTATTCTAATTGGGTACTATTTTTGAATTTATGATCATGGTAAGTACAAAAGTAAATGCTTCCAATGATACCTGTACATTTGTTTGAGACAACCCCCACTTTTTTAAGTGTCTTCTGTCATTTGCATAAGCTAAGGGCCCTGTCAGTGATATCAATGGGAGTTTTTCACCTGAAGTGTGACTACAAAATTGGAAAATGTCAGATTTTATTATTATTGAGTCTTAAAAGTATCTTCTTATTGTACCTTGAAGATGTTCCCAAAGCTGTAATCAGTGCCTGAAGCAATCCTCCAATAAATACCCAAGGGTTTTTACGGGTGATCAGGAAGTAGAGCAGTGGTAAAACAATAATTGCATGAATGAGCAAACCAATGATAACTGTTACAGTGTACATGGCAAGTTGTCCACCAATTACACCCATGTCTTCCATCTCAACAATTTTTCCAGCAATCAAGAAGAGGATACCAAGCGGAGCATACCTATAAACAAGTAAGCAAATAAACGTTGTGCTGAACAAATTGAATCCTAACTTCAATCCCCCCCCCCCCCTTTTTTTTTTTTTTTATACAAAGCTTTATACATATTAGCAACCATAACCAACCTAGATTGGCCTCAGTTCAAGATTCTGGCCTGTGGCAAGTCAACTTGGTTGCTGCCATATTTACTCAGCTCTGCTGGGTTAGGGGTCAGCTAAGGGAAAGTCAAGAGGAACCGTGGTAATTCTCCAAGTTGATGAATGCCTGATGGAGCCCTGGTTCCTATTTAAAACTTAGTTTAGCCAATTCTTTAGTAATTTTTTACATAGGCGAAAGCCCATGTAATACATGGGCTACTCCTTTGCCACCTGCCTCTAAATATTGGGTAGATGGCTGAGAAAAGGGGGCATAGTAATGGAGTGTTTAGGTTTGGCTAGTCCCAGACAAGTTCAGGTAATAAGTAGTTAGACAAAGGGTAGAGAGAGCATTTTGAAGGCTATTTTTTGTTGAGGACTGAGTGCAGCGTTTCAAAGATACCTTAAACTACTTTTTCTTAGTTGTGCTAGACACAATTCAGCTACACTTGAGAATTTAGCCTTGAACATATGAATCTAAGATCTACAGAAAGATGACTGCTGTTGCAGCTGGACTTTTTTCTGTTGTATTATAACTTGGTGTGGGGAAGTTTTGTGGAAAGCAGGATTGCTAAAGTACCTCTCCTAATATGTATGTCCTAACATTATGAAAACAATGCCAGTGGACACTAAAGACTATATTTATCTATTAGTAATGATGGCAATGGAAAATATTTATCTGCAACAAGAATTAGAAAATATTAAAATATTTAGATTCTTAGGGTAAACTAACAGTGTAGAGAACTATGATCTTTAGAGGTATAGATTTTAAAGCTAGAAAGAACAATTAGGATCTTCCGGTCTGACTTATTGCCCAACACAGACCCTTGATATCCAGCATATACCATCAACAAAACAGCAACACTTAGCATAATAATAGAGCATTTGGCAGACATAAAACACTTACCACATGATTAGAGCTACCAATCTCATGATAGCTTCATTAAGGCTATCAAAGAAGTCCTTTAATGGCTGCCCTTGCTCCTTCATGCTCCCAATCACCAATCCAAAGCTTATTGAAAAAACCACCAGTCCCAGTGCATTCACTCCATTTACAGATCCTGGAACAGGGATAATCTCCTCCTTTATTCGAGTTAGGGTTTCCATTGCCTCTGAGACGTTGCTAATTACAGAAGCCATAGTGGAGGTTTCATTGGGTGGAATTGCTACTTGAAATTCTCTCTTATCATAGTTTGTTTTGAACTAAAAAAAGAAAAGAAAAAAAGGAAAGATGGGAAACAGTAAATTGTGGCAAATAATGGTAAAGATATTTATGTATTAAGTCTTCTGTGATCCTATTCTCATTATTATGTTTCTGATGCCCATATTTGTGGTCATGTGTTTATAAAATATGTAGTAAGAAGATAAACTCTGACATCATCAGCACAAACTCAGGTTACTCTGGGAGTAGGGATTTATAGTGTGCCAGCTGCTTTGCAGTAACTGCCTGTGTGTACAAACTTAGTCTACTCTAACAGTTAACTTGTAGTTTACCCTTCAGTGAAAAATGTATAATTTTACACTTTTGTGCCTACCTGCTGAAAATGGCTATCAGGCCCAAGGAGTTCAGTATGATCAGTAATAGTCCCAACTACTGCAAAACTCTGGAAGTGTTTAAGTTAACTGAATGCAAAGCCAGCATACTTATGGTGGAGTGGGGGTGGCCTGAGTGCTAGAAAGCCAACATGCAACAAGACTCCAGCTGGTCTGAGTTCCTCTTAGATGCCATACATTAGACCATACTTTTGATGTACTGTAAAAGAGTATTTTCTGCAACTATTTCAGGCTTTAGGGTGGGTTCTGATCTGCCAGTAGAAGTTGTGTTAAAAATGTATTAATAGTTTTTTGGACAAGGAGGTATTTGAATCCTCAAGTGTGCCAGACAGTGTTAGGCAGTGGTTCCCAAACCTTATCCAGCTGCATTCCCATCTACAGTCAGAGCTCGTTTTGCATGACCCCACACAATTTACTGTTAGGCATGTCCGTACAGTTAGCAGCATGGAACTTGGGAACAGTCTCTGTGCTTCCAAGCACTTCCTGGAGGGAGCTAACCTGGGGCAGCCTATTTTTTAAATAAGTTGCTTTGGTTGAGCTATCACTTACAGCAAAGTGATGGCAGATGTCAGGACTGTTATTGCAGAGCTGGGAAGATGGGGTAAATCCCTGTTTTCTGTTAATTTTTGCAAAATGAACTGTCCCTATGACTGCAATTTCCCCACCATAAGGGAAAGCTAAATGGGGGAAGCTTAGGCCTGTTTCACTTGGAGGGAAGCTGCCTTGATTTAGCTTTCAAAGCAGGTAACAGAAGGACATGGGGCAGTTATGATGTAGCAGCTGATGTACGGCAAGTTCCTGCCTCTTGATAAGGGCACAGAATCTGTGCATTTACTTAATTCACTGGGAATAAGGTTTTACCACAGCTACAACAAGTTTGTGTACCTGCAGCTAATTGTAGGCTTGGAGGAATTCAGGACTTCGTGATAATCGTTAGGGCAAAGCTTCAGTCCCTGATTCAATTCAGCAGAGATTCGGCCTGATTCAGTGGCCAAATCTCCAAATCTGAATCGAATCAGAGGACCCTTTAATTTCCCTGTTCTGAATCGGAACTGTCCGAATCGATTTGGAAAGATTCGGACATAGACACAGCTTTAAATGTTTTTTTTTACATACCTCTAGGTAGCAGGAGGCTCAAGAATGGTGGGACTCATGGAGTGTCCCACAGGAGCATGGGGGGTCCCCAGCACACTCCCTGGCAGCCCCGGACATGGACTGGAAGTACTTTGGATCCACTCCCTGATTCGCCGCCAAGCATGTGCACCCCCCCTCCCCTTCCTGTGGGACGCCTCCATCTGTCCCAGCATTGCAGCATTCAAGAGCCGCACTGGTACCTTGAAGTATGTAGAAAAAACATTTAAAGCTGTGTCTATGTCCGAATTGCTGATTCTCTGAATCAGCATCAGATCTTTAGATTTGGATTTGGCCAAATTGAATCAAGGACAGTGCTCTGAATCAACTATTTGAATCACTGTCCCTGGTTCGGGTCGAATCCAAATTGCAGGATGGAACAGGTACCTTGAAAAGAAATAATAAACGTTGGTGCCATTTATCTGGGAGTTGTAGCAGCAGCAATAGCTTTGCAAGGAACTGCTCCAAGGTTTCCTTAACCTAGATGTAAGGCCCAGGCTGCCAATAAACCCCAGCCGTTCCTGGCCTAACTTGGGAATCAGCGGTTAATCATTTCCAGTAAGGCAGTTGTTATATATCAGTGAGAGAAGTCCTCGGTTATCTTTGAGTAGAGAGAGGTAGTTAGGTGGGTTAGTCTGAATTAAGGGAGAAGGTAGGATGGCACCTTATAGACTCACTCATTCAGAAAGTCATAAGCTTTCATAGACTACAGCCTGCTTCATCCGAGGCTACGCATCTGTAGTCTACAAAAGCTCATGCCTCTCAGTTAATCTATAAGGTGCAACCATGCCCTGCCTTCTGCCTAGTTTATCTTTGTGGGCCCTTTATCTGAAAGGAAAGGTAGGAGCAATTTCTTCTAATATGAGTAAAGATGATTCTACAACTGACAGTGTTAAACCTAACCCAGATTTCAGTCAATACAAACATGTTTTGACATCGCACTGTCTGATTCTGCAAGTCTTTAGTTTTTTTAGTTAATTTTTCAATGGGTCTACTTGACTAAATAAAGACTGGTATGGGAGAGAGGCACTTCAGAGTTGGAACGGGGTAGTCTCACAAAAACTAGGTTGACATCTTTTGGCAGTATATTTTAGTTAGATAATTTTTTTTTTAAATTCTCTCTACAAGCTATTCAGTAAAGCAACTCAAGAGCAAGAACATGAGATATGTGGTAAATATATAAACATCTATATCCATCTATAGATGGATTAATATGGAAATCAACAGCACTTACAGGGATTCAAGTAATGGGAAGATTGAACTTTATTGCCAATTGTGATGTCATTTCACTAGTGAAGAATATATTTTAAGATGATTTCTAGCTAAAATATCGAGCATGAAAACAAGCATATTGATTCTCCTGAATTACTTATTTAAGCTTCTGTCATTCCTTTGCATTAGTCAGTGATCCATATTGTCTAAAGTAATTTAATTTCAGTTGGAACTGACTATTAGAAACCTTGAAAATGACAGAAGTTAGCCGATTTTGGGATTACTAATACCATAAACTCTCTGTGCTTAATGAGCATTGTTTTTACATTATGTTCAGGTGAGTCTGTACTCTTGATAAAAGCACAGCTTTCTTTGGCCACAAGGCTAAAACACAATACATTATATGTGAAATACAGCTATGGAAAAAAGTAATATAGGAAAAGTGGTTCCTTTGATTCTTAATTCAGCATTTCTCTCATTTTTATGAAAGCCCCTGTGAAGGTCATTTCAATAATTCCAAACTACTTATTGGAAAATTAATGAAACAGTCATCATAAGTGATGTTGTAGCATGCTTCAGATAATTATAATTACAAGCAATAGTTGCATTGCGTCATTTGTTATGTATGTGAACCTTCTTGTACATTTAATGTTGCCATTCCATTCTGCAGAGCTTAGTACATGAAGAAATAATAACAAATAGGGGGAATGCATGAGCAGGTTCAGAAGAAATACAGGGAGGTGGCTACACCTTGCCAGTCACACATTCTTGATTTCCAGCACTGGATGCCACACATTTCTTTGTGCAATACTTCAGCAGGCACCCAAGTTCCCCTCATTTTCAGCATGTTGACCCTCCCATAAGCTCTTGGACTTTTTCCTTCACCATGACCGTTCTGGTTATCTTTGTCTCTTTTACCTTGTGAGACAGCTCAGAACAGAAAGAATCAGCTGAAATAGCAGTTGCAGCTTTCAAAGCAATTTGCTAGTATTTCTGGGTTCCATGATAGGAACTTCAAATTTGAGAGAGGAAGAGAAATGAAGTGGTTGGGATCAAAGACAGAAGGTAAGGCTAGGGGTATATTAAAGTATTTTGAGGAGTTAGAGAAAATATGGCAATCATGGACAAAGAAATGCTGATAGGGGCAGGCGGTTGCAGTATGATAGATCTCCTGGGTTGGGCAGGGGGCAGGGCAGAAGAAGAAAGTAAAACAAATAGCAGTGACTAGGCAAGTCACAAAACATTTGGAGAAATGTTCCACCTAGATCAGAGCAGGATGTTGGTAGTGAGAGAGAACTGTATGGGGCTAGGCAGGGCACTGAAGGAGGTGAGGCTGAGGAGAAAATACTTGCACTTTGCCAAAACACATCACTTTCCAGCACCCTCTTTCTAACTTGACATGCTTTGCAAGTTTAGGTCTTTGACCGTACCTCCTGCCTGGTCAACATAAGAGTCCATCACAGTCTATTACTAGTCTATCATGGTCCATTACTAGTCCATTTTGAGTGTGGGACCAGGTTGGACTAGTGGGATCTGAAATTTTGTGGTGCTTTTCTGATCAGGTTTTCTCATCTCTGACTAATCTTACCAGTAGAGTTGAACAGCAGTTTTTCTCCTCCAGTGTCGTCTTCTGCCACTGGGGGCTGCTGTGGTGCTGGCACTGATGTCAGGCACCTGTTTGTTCTGCCACTCTTGGGCTAGGAACAGACATTGCATTTGTCCCTGGATAAGTTGTGCCCATATTTATTCTGGATCAAAATATCCCAGGACAGGCATGTACACACCTCAGGGTTCTAATCAGGGTTTTATGAGCATTTGAGTGCACTGTTGCTTTTCTGCCATTGATTCAATGATGCAATCTTGGGATAATTACAGACATACTTTTCAGTATCCCCGGATAAACTGTTGCTACCTCTTATCTGGGATACTTTCTTAGGATGTATCCTGGGACAACAGGCATGGACATCTGTAAGATTGCACTTTCTCCTGGGATCACATGATTTATCCCGGGATAAATGTGACATGTCTTTGCAACCTCAGAGCTCCCTAGGCTTCCTGGGAGTGGAGAGAAGGGCTCAAGGAAGACCATACTGGAAGGCGTAAAGAAGACTGAATAGTTTCATAGTTGGTAAGGTCGGAAGGGACCTGAGCAGATAATCAAGTCTGACCCCCTGCCATGGCAGGAAAGAGTACTGGGGTCAAACGACCCAGGCAAGGTGTTCATCTAGCCTCCTCTTAAAGTACCCCAGGGTAGGAGCCAGCATCACTTCTCTTGGAAGTTGGTTCCAGATCCTAGCCACCCTGAC